CAATTTCAACTAAGCAGTTACAGCCAATCGACCGTTTACAAATCCTTGATGATCAATTTGCCTTACTTATGGCTGGCCAAGTCTCGAGTGCACAATTTCTTGAGTTGCTTAGCTCATATGCTAATGAAGATAACTACGTAACCTGGGTTGCTATTGATAATTGTATCAGTAAATTAGATTTACTATTATCTTACACTGACCTGTCTGAGAAATTCGCAAAGTTTGGTATTAATTTCTATTCTAAAATTTACAATGAGCTTGGTTTTGATATTAAAGACGAAAAATCTCATACCGAGAACCTTCTCCGATCATTGGTTTTGCTCCGTTTGGCTAAATTTAAGTATGCTCCAGTTATCGAGGAGTCAATCAAAAGATTTAAAGCTCATGTTGCTGGTACACCAATTCACCCTGATATAAGAAGCTCTGTTTATAGAGCCGTTGCATCTTCGTGTGATGATGAAACTTTCAATACCTTTTTCAAATTGTATCGTGATACTGATTTACATGAAGAGAAAGTTCGATTAATTCAATCAACTGGAAGTTCTGGTGACCTTGCTAGGATTCGGCAACTTCTTAATTTCACTTTTTCACCTGAAGTAAGAAGCCAAGACGCTTGGAGAGTATTTATTTGTACTGTTGGAACTAAATTAGGTCGTGAAGAAGCCTGGAAGTTTTTCAAAGATAACGCAGACGAGTTTAAAAGAAGATATGGTTCTCATATTGCTAATGCATTCGTGATTGAACATCTTACTAATGGTTTTGCTTCTGAAGAAAAATATAAAGAAGTTGAATCATTTTTCTTACAAAATTCATTTTCTGGCCATGAAAAAGTGGTTCTTCGAAGTTTGGAAACGATAAAAACACACGCTGAATGGTTAAAGCGGGAAACTGATAGTGTCAGAAACTTTTTGGAATCGATTTAAAAGTCATTGAAAGACGTGTTCTTTTTGCCTTTTTACTACACCTAACCTTTTACAGCGCAATTAATGGTTGAAATTGAACAAAAATTAATTTTGATGGATAACAAATTTTAACATTAGATCCAACAATTCTCCACTAGATCATGAAATTTGATAAATTTATAGTCCATTTATAACATACTTGATTGAATTGAAATACGAAATAAATTCAAAAAGATTGAACAAGAGATTTGAATAATTGCGGTTTTAAAAATTCTTAAAATTCAAAGGGTTACATTGGTGTTGATCAAATTTGTTTGACGTGCTGTTATAAAATAAAACAAAATAATTGTCAGTCAATTATTTTCCTGGTTTATACAATTGAACTTACCTGCGAATTTGAAACTCATAATAGAGATTGAAAAGGTTTGGTTGAATTTTCTGTCTTGGTAGTTTCTGAACCTGATTGCTTTACAGTGACTTCTTTACCCATCGTCCTTAACTTTAAATTCAATAGAGCTGGGTCCGATTGATTTCGAGAAGAATGTTCATCAATAATTGTTAAGCCTAAACTATCATTGACCTTATCCTGCCTTGGTACCAATAATGAAATTATATTGTGCATACACATTTAGTTTGATATCTGCTAAGATTTAAAGCCTTATCTAACTTACTTTAATGAAACCATCAATATCTCAGACAGCAGCGTCTTTACTGTGATTGGTTTAAATCGTGTGTTAAATTAACGCTCCTCCTTGTGTCAGTGTAACTAGACTTTTACCACAATATGTTTTGAATTGCTGTCTCTTGAGTAAATTAAATGCCCCTTGAATTATAGTTACACTTTACACTGTCCCACTTTGCGTTCAAATGACCACAAGTTTAACTGCAGTGAAAACCTACGAGCGTTTACCTAAAAATGTGATCCCTCAACTGTACAAGTTGGAACTTACCCCTAACCTGGAAAATTTTACTTTCACTGGAAAAGAGGATGTCGAGGTTTCAATTAAAGAGAGTACAAATCAAGTTATCCTCAATGCAAGTCAGCTTGAGATTCAAAAGGCGTTATTCAAAGACCCATCTGGCAGTAAGTTTTGATTTTATTTATGCTATCTATTACTGATTCAATTATATAATGTCATTCTTTTTTTATGGAATTTAAAGGTACTTTAAAAGGAAACGTCACGCTTGATACAAAGGATGAAAAAGTATTGATCAAATTCGATGAAAGCTTGAAGATTGGCACTGGTACCATTTCAATAGCCTTTTCGGGTATTCTTAACGATCAAATGAAAGGTTTTTATCGTAGTAAATATAGAACCCCTTCTGGAGAAGAACGATATGCAGCAACAACTCAATTTGCAGCTCCTGATGCTCGTAGAGCGTTCCCTTGTTGGGACGAACCTGCATTCAAAGCGCAATTTGAAGTTACACTTATCGCTCCTAAAGATCGAACAGTACTATCTAATACCGAACCAGTTCAGCAAGTCCAACACCCTGACAACGCTAATTTGCAAATTGTTAAATTTGCTCCAACGCCCATCATGTCAAGTTATCTACTTGCTTTCATTGTCGGGGAATACGATTTCTTGGAAACAATCACTAAGAATAAAACTCGAGTTCGTATTTATACACCAGTTGGAAAAAAAGAACAAGGTCAATATGCATTGGAAATTGCCTCAAAATCTTTAACTTTCTTTGAGGATTATTTCAACATTCCTTTTCCTTTAAGCAAATTGGACCATATCGCTATTCCTGATATTGCATACGGCGCTATGGAGAACTGGGGTTTGGTAACTTATCGAGAAGCTCGGGTTTTGGCTGATCCAAAGAATACCTCAGCAATAAACCGTGAGCAAACGGCAATTACTATTGCCCATGAAACTGCTCATCAGTGGTTTGGTAATTTAGTCACAATGGATTGGTGGACTGATCTTTGGCTCAATGAGGGTTTCGCTTCTTTCATGGAATACCTAGCAGTAGATAGTATACATCCTGAATTTGATATTTGGTCAAAATTCGCTTCATATGCAGCTCTCCCAGCACTTAAACTTGATTCACTTCGTGATAGTCATCCAATTGAAGTTCCCGTTTCTCATCCTGATGATATTGACTCGCTTTTTGACTTGATATCTTATGAAAAAGGAGCTTCCATTATCAGAATGTGTCATGACTGGATTGGTGATGAGGTAAATTTTCTTTAAACTCAGTATTTTCTTCAGTTTTTGAGAGCATCTAATTGAACTACCGGGGCAGACAATTAAATTTACATTTAGACAATCGGTTCAATATAGTGATTTTCCTATAGCCTCTCTCCTTTTTGCTTTAGA